TGCCCGGGGACAGGGACAGCGGCGTCTGAGCTCGGGCGGCCCGTCAGCCGCAAGAAGATCCCACTTCACAGACCGGAGAGCTGAGGCCACAGAGCCGCAGCCAGGGCCCAAGCCCAGGCCCGCTGGACGCCAAGTCCAGGGTCTCCAGCCTGGCCAAGGGGGTGCGGCTGGAGGCTTGGTCTGGGGGTTCTTGAGGACCAAGGCCCCCAACGTCCCCACCCCAAGGCACAGAAATCCAATCCAACCCCGAATGTCGGGCCCAGCCCCGGGAGCCTGTGTGATGGCCGGGGGACAGCAGGGGGCGCCTGAGCACAAGGTATGGCCCCTTCAAGGCTCCACCCCCTGAAAAGTGGGGACACAGCTCCCTGTGTGGGGCGGCCTAGGAGGGAAGACACACCCACTTTCTCTCCTGGACCCACGGGAGAGGGAGCAGCCGGAGTCGAGAAAACCACTCGGAGCCCAGATATGTCTGGGTTCAAGGTTCAAGCTTAGCCGGCGGGGAACTCCCTGGGCCTCAGTTTACCCGTCTGCACAATGGGGAGCCTATCCCGACCACACAGGACTGAAGGAACTCGGGAGCCAGTCCCCGTGGGCTCCTGGTAAACGTTGCTGAGACTGGGCCCGGACCCAAGTGGACCCCAAGGGACCCCCCCGCCCCCCGGCACAGGTTCAGGGGCAAACAGCCTGCCCAGCCCCCTCAGGGAGAACCCGTGGGAACCCAGAACCAGAGGGCGGGCAGGGCTGGCGCTTACAGCCTTCAGCGGGGGGCCCTCTGCGCCCCTGTCCTTCCGCTGGACCATGGCGTTTGTGCTGACCGGAGACAGCGGCAGCCCCCGGGCGGGCTGGGGCGAGGCCTTCTTCCCGGACGGCTCCTCCTCGGCCTCGGACGGGGGCCTCTTCATGCCGGCCATGCCCCCAACTGGCAGGAGACACAGGGTCAGGGGCCGGCCCAGCCCCCACCCGGCTCCCAGTGTCTGGGCCACCCCGGCCTGAGCCCTTGGAGATGTGGGTGCCCAGCTGGGGCCTGGAATGGGGGAGGGGGTGGGACTGCTGGGGTCAGGAGAGGGGACTTTGCTGTTTCTCCACCAAGTGGATGGAAGGCGGGGAGGCGGGCTGGCCCCGAGCCCAGACAGGCCCAGAGCGATTCCGGGGATTTCTAAGGCCGGGCCGCGGAATGTGGGGGGAGCAGGAAGCAGAGCGCTGGGAGAGAATGGCAGGCTGCCTCTCCCGCCACCGCGTCAGGACCAAACGGGGGGACATCGGAGCTGGGCCTGGGAGCCCTCGG